TACTAAATAATAATCATATCTATCCAAATTATTATGATTGCTGTGATTATTGATTTGTGTCCTTTTGATAAAGATTAATCAAGGATATACTTTCAAATTTAATAATCTAATCTAACCACTATCATAGATATTTAGGGATTCTATTAAAATATGTTTATTGAAATTTTATAATAGAATTGTTAATTAGATTTTTTTCGATATTTAAAATAATTAATTTAATAGCTTTTTTGTAATTTCAATTTCTTAAATTCTTTTAATTAATCTGAAAGATCTTTGCAGATCCAGTATTTGGATAATATATTTAAATCTCTCCTTTATATCATTATTTAATTATTACATTTTAGCATGTTTGTTCCTAAAGTCTTATGTTAATGAAATCAAGTGCTTAGTACAATTGATAATTGGTGTAATACTCATAAATGATTAAATTATAAATTTTCTATTACAAAATTTAATTGTAACTTATCAAAGTATAGTAATTTAACAATTACTAATTTAGTAATTTATTCAATTTTTAAAGTGAGATTTCACATAGTGAAGTAAAATAAATTTAATCTTGTATAAAAAATTAATAAATAATCTAATAGGCCTCCTATTCAATAGATGTAATTTCATATGTTTCTCCAATTATATATAATAATGTTTACATATAGATCAATTGATATTCTTAATCTCTAAGAAAACGAAATTTTGGGTTATAATTAATTAACACTTTGAATAATCATTCCTATTCTCAAGACTTTTACTTCAACTAATCCTTTTCCTTATGCCTAAAGAAAAAAAAATTAATTTCTATTGCAGTAAAAATTATTCATGAATTACTTAATCTTAAGGTAAAACAAGATGCTTAGAAGACATGAAATTTTTTTGATATTCAAAAATAATGAAACAATTGTTATTCTTTTTTTAGATAATAATTAATTGGTTTATGGTCTACAAAATATTCATTTTTTCATTCTAAAATATTGATTATCCAAAAAAATATTTATAGTTTGATTTAAAAAATGGAATCTTAAATCTATTAAAATCTAAAGAAAAGATTATGATGATAAATTTAATTACTTCTATGAATCTGATTCACCAGTATACATGTTTCATTCGGCTTTTGTTATTGCATCTGATTACTCTAAGAATAAACTACTTTTATAGAATTATTAAAAGGGAAAATAATCAGAAACAGTGAATTGATTGAAGGCAATCATCAATGATTTCTTATATATTTGATCCTCTCAAGAAGTAAAAAGTGATATGAAATTATGGAACCTTAATTAGAAAACAGATCTAAATAGAGGGTTTTAATTTACAGAGAAGTAGATAAGAAGTCCATAAGAAAGATTAACTTTAAAGAGAATAGGAAAAATAGATACTTAAACAGAATTTTTAGCTCAAAGTTATTAAATACAAGTAGTTATCAGTCGAAAATATAAATTTCCAAAAATATTGTTAGCAATTATTAATTATATAGCCTATAAATTGTAACATAACTGTTTACTACAATTATATATGATATTAATTATTTATTTTTCTCATTCATAAATTTTCTCTAAGCATAAGCATAAGACTTTCATAATCTTAAATTTATAAATATATATGGAAAATATAAATTTTTATTATTTAACTAGTTATATTATTGCTCAGTTTTCTTTTTTGCAGTTCTTCGCATCCATAATTATCTGTTGAATTGGCTTTCTTCAATTTATTTACTTTCAGCTTAGTTTTATAATTTTTCTAGCCAATTATAAAAGATATCTGTATTTTCAAAATTTAGATGCTGTAATATAATGTGCCATAAGGGAATCTTTATGGAAGTAGTTAAGTGAGGAATATCTTATGAAATGAAATCTTTATGCATACCTGTAATTCTTCCACTTAATGAGTGAGCCAGTACTTTTAAAAATATTGGATCATTTATTGAGGCATTTTCTTACTTC